TATACTCGAGTATATACGGTATATATTTTTTTCAGTATGATGGACCACATTGACATCTCTTTGTTTCCTGTAGCATTAAGTTACATTCCTCACATTTCATTCCAATAGTACAGTTTGATCTACTTTCAATCAGTCAGTCAGTCATATCCTTAATTTTTTTTTAAATAAATAATTCAAGGCAGTGAATGCACCCAGCACTCCTTTCTTCTCCTATTTTCTCAATAGCAACAATGGGATGGGATGGGTTGAAAGTGTGACTGATCCAAAGTCACACAGTCAGCTTACATGCCTTAAGGCAGAACTAAAATTCACAAATTCCTGGTTTCTAGCCTGGTGCCTTAACCAGAAGATCAAATTGGCTAAAATGTAATTAAAAGAGCAATATGAACATACCCAATCATTTGCTATTGTTATGTGTTTTTCAATCAGAATCTTTATTTTTACAAGATGTACAATTATTACATAATATACTATAATTAATAATCTTATAGAACTGAATTTGAACTTTTTATTATCCATCCTTGATAAATAATTTTGATTAAGCATTTTCTTTTTATTTTACTTTACAGTGGTAATTACTGATATGACTTTTGAGACATATGGAAATAAATTTCTGGAAACAACAACTCTTTGTTGTTGATATGATGTGAAGAACATATTAAGAAGGTTATGTTAAAAAAATATGGAGGAAGCAGAATATAAGAGCAATTAATACAAATGAACAGGCATTGTTAACAAAATAAAAAACCCAGAATATACAAAGAAACTTAAAGAAAGCTTTGTTGGCAGCTAATTTCTTCAGGGCCATTTATTTGAGATTTTTCTTTTTACATTTGATGATTGCTAGGGCAACTGGTGTTAATGATAGCTCACAACAAGATGGAAATGTAACATGAAAAGCTACTTTCTGTTTTCAAAAATAAACACTGTCACTAAAATTTTTCTTCTTTATTCACATTTCACTCTGCTTGCCTAAAAGATGGGAAAAATGGAAATGAATATAGCAGTAGGTGGTGCACATTATATCCATTAGAAGCCATAAGAAGAAAAAAGCAATCTTTGCTACACCATGAGCTTGCTAATAAACACATACT